AGCCGGTATAATTTTCGAAGGCGTCAATACGATGAGTGGCAGGTGGCTGAATTTTACGGAGACTTGCCACAGTCTCCAACCCTCCTCCTTTCCCATCAGGGCTTGGGACCGGCCATGGCGGAGTTATATATATATATCCGTTATCGTACGATTATCTTCAACGTTTTTTCGAACCACTGCTAGATGATGGCATCTGTGATGCCTTTGCCATAAGCCTTGTTTTCTGTGATTTTAATCGATCTTCATCTAAAGAACTATTTCACCTCGACCTGCCATCCATCTGTATGCCTTTCTGCCGGCCGTTTATTCTCTTCCGCTTTCGTAGAATGAAGTCCAATGTCTCCCTGGTCTAGGAATTTTCGGTTCTTCTGTCAGAGTGTTCTTAAATCACCACCTGAACTTCTTCGCTCGTTCAGCGCCATTTCTGATGTCTGCTTTTGCCCGCACTCATTCGCATGTCTTCCCGTTTTTCATGTTATCCCCTAGCTGCGTTGCATAGTCTGTAGTTTCTGAGCGGTTTTAATAGCAAAGATCGATATTTCGAATTTATGCTTGAGCAGATATAATGACAACGTCCACTGATGTTCAGTTTCACACATCTCAGAAGTGTACAGAAAAGGAAAATTTTCGATCTTCCAAAAGTGCTACATGTCACTTTTACTCTTCGTCGATTTCGCACAGTTGGTTTGTCGTTACAGAGATGAGTGGTCCCAGAAACACGTAGTCTCGCAATTCTTCAAGTTAAAGACCATTGACCTCAACAGGTCGAGGTGTCAGGTATTTGTTAAACATGAACTGGGTTTGCTTCAGGTTTATTTTCAGTTCTGTTTTCATGCTGGCGTCGTTATGGAATTCTTCCTCGAAATCCTTTTGGTGACTCTGAAAAGACCAAGACATTGTCCCGCGAGAATTGGCGCAGTAGAGTGAATTTTTAGTGGTGAGTATTTTTAGGTAGTGCGCATTTTTTCAACGTCTTATTATTACAGTGAAATGTGTGGAAAATCATTCTTACGGTTGCTGTGAAGATCCTCAATGATATCGCCCTCTCTTCCTACATATCATGCCTCATTTTCCTTTGAAAACGCTAGATTATTCCGCCATACCTGAATCACGTGTGCTTCAGATGTCAAACCGAAACATGAAGTAGATTGTTAGGGTTAGGCTGCGGAAAGCGAAGAGATTCTAAGAGGCACTCCATTTTACATAAGAAAAGCAAAATATAATCGGTACCTTAGTACTGCATTATCGTTGCTGTTATTTTCATAATAAATGCTGTTCAAAATTAAGGATAATAATAATCATAAACATCATAATCTAAACTCACTTCAGTATGCGTAAATAAAAAGTAGCATGTAATAGTGCAACCCACAGGATGAATTTTAAAATATGTCGTCTTAGCTTGACAAAGGTAGGGCCGGGTCTGCAAAGGGTCCTAAAGATTGAAGAATCAAATTTGTGCTCAACACAATAGCCGAAGACATAGAGATTCTTCGCGAACCTCTGTCGAGACAAATATTGAAGCTCTGCTTTTCTAGTTCAAATCACTTTTCTTGTAGGTAAAATTTCCTCATAAATGTGAAGAGATCTGTCTGCGATCGTCTTATGTTATGGCAGTTGTCATCTTTCGCTATGACAGTTATTAACAAGAATGTACAAGGTTCAGTAATCAATAATACTTTTACCTTGTATTTCTCAAATCGTAATCATCGAAGTGTGACATATCGCATTGCGTTGATTCTTTTGGCATAATGGTTTTAAAGCCAAACAAATAGAGGGGACAATATTTTAATGTATTAAAATCAGACCAAATTAGCATATTCCTATTAATCCTATATCCTGGCCAGATCCGTACTATTGTACTCTTTTCCATCTTTGCTGCTGCCACTGTCTAAAGCTCAAAATTGAGAGGCCTTCGCCATAGCTTCAATCATTCATTTTCTTAAGAACGTTTAAAGACTACCATTCATTCTCCTGAATCCTTTACTATTATGATATACACCGCCAATATTTTTTTCAGTTTGCAATGACATAATGGAAGACTAACGATTCGGTTTAGCCTTTTGCCAAAGTTCTGCATATCACCATTACTTGATTTATTGGATGTCGCTATGGGGTCACGGCGTTCCCACGCTTCTCGTCACCACTTGCCATTGTATTCTGTGCTGGGCAACGTCTGATATGATTGTTAATCAATCGGTGTGCCATGTTGGGCTTACGGCATGTCTTGATAGACGTGGTCCATCTGCGTTAGTCTTTGATACTATCCAACCACGAAGTTGTTAGCCTGCCTTTTGGACTTTCCAGGATGGGTTAGGTACAATACGAATCAAGATGGGTGTTGATCAGCCGTTTGTCGTCCCGTCGCACTGCATGACCGAGAAGCGAGGGTTTTAGTTCTTCATATTCGTTAGAGGTAGAGTTGATTATATTTCCTGCCCGGCGAACTCCATTTGTACTTGTCTACGCCCTCCAGCAATTGAGCATTCGTAATCATATCAGTCAGTGTCTAGTCGAGTATTCATCTCCAACGCGTGCATTCAGACACGTCCAAGGGATTCGCTTATTTCTTAGTAAGGGTCCCGTTGTTGCTGCGGCATACATCAGCACTGGGTGAACATCTATCGGATATACGTAGATTTTCAGCGAACTACTGACAGCAGTTTTGCACAGATTTTACTGTAGCAGGTTACCTGCGATTCGAGCTTTTCTGCCTGTTTCCTGGGCATCGGCTTCAGCGATTACCGTAACTAGTGATCGCCGACCCACCTCAGCAGAACTCAGCGACGTACTGCACATCTTTCCCCACAAATTTTCGTGATGTTGACGTTTTCTGGAAAGTTCGCGTTTCGATGGTTTCAGTCTCAGTGTCCGCACTCGGCGCTGGCTGTTGCCATTGCCGTCAACGCCTTCTAAAATTCTTCCGGGTTTATTGCAACGTCGTCAGCATAATCCACGTCTTGTCACTGGTGTCCTGAGGGTTGGAGTATCACTTTGCCATCAAGGTGTATAACTGCCTCTATCATCATGGCATCCATGCAATGGTTGAATTGTATCGGTCCGATGATCGACCCTTGCCGTACTCCGCTATGAATTGCAACGCTGTCTGAGATCGCTGAATCTTATCAAACCACCGCCATTTTTCTGGCATATTTGTTTTCAACATGTCAACAACTTTTTCCGGCACACCGTCATTTCGCACAGGGTCTTGTGATCTGGAGAATCGAATGCGAGGCCTCAAGGTCGACAAACCCCATGAACAGCGGTTTGTGGCATCTGTTGTACGTTTCCAGCTGTCGATGCTTCTTCTTTGATAGTATTCACTCATTAAGGTCAAATTCTGCTGATGATAATTCTTTCAGTAACATCCAGTGCCTCGCAGACGAGGCTTATTCCTGTGTAATTTTGGGCACCTGACACAGCACCTCTTTCGTGCATCGGAATCTGGTGTGTGTCAGTCTTCCGAGTATTGTCTCTGTTCGTCATATCTCATGAATGATGTTAGGCAACACCTTGCTATCCTGTATTAGGCAACCTCTTCTCGTGAACTTCATCTGTGTCAACTATTTTACCATTTTATCCTTTCTGAAAGGCATTCATGAGCTGTTCGCGGATGAGTACGTCAATGCTGAGTCCAAAGCAGACGTCCTACTTTGCTGAAATCAAAGCATTGAAGTATTTGGCGGAGGCCCATTCATACGTTGCTGGAAATGTTCCCAAAAATCACTCGACACATTTAAGTTCCATGAGCATGCGCATCCACCTTTTCAACTACCGAAAGACGATATGGTATTATTTCTTAAGCTGATTCACAGTATTAAAGCAAACATTCGTCTCAGGTTGTTGCATTTGACCGCTTTTTCCATGACAGCAGTACGTTTATAGCCACAGTGCGTAAATTACTTTAATCAAGTGATATTTCGGTTCGGTTTCCTCTTCTTTCTTCAAAGCTTTATTTCCTGCAAGTCTGGTTCTTTGTCGTTGCTTCGTCAGCTTCTCAGTCCTTCCTCCCACAGACTGACAAGTACTTTCTCTCTAAAGTACTGAGATACTTCCGCTAGCGGCAGTTAGTCGGCAGTTGCCGAAACCACCGTGTGTCATTGGAAAATTTCTTTTCAGTCACTGATTTAGAGCAATTGTGAATTTTCTCCGGACACCTGGATTTTTCTGTAACGATGCCACATTAAGCCTTGGCATCGTCTCTAATCTTTTGAAAGTAACATGCGGTGCCACCGGGACACGGTCAGACAGAAAGGTGCATCTCCAGATGCTTTAGGACCGTCTTACTGTGTGCTTCCACGATCACTTGTGAGTACGCAATCCAATTGTAGTTGTAACTTCTTCCGCCCATGCTCTTTCTGCCGCTCCTTAGACAAATGTTACAACCTCTTTTCAAGGTCGTAGCAACTGTCAGGCTGAATCTGTCGGTGAGGTTGAAGATAATCGATCCATTTGCTGTGGTGGTTTTTTGCCGGCAGGAACCATTTACCAAGGGCGACACTCGTTTCATCGCTGGCGAATTTTTTGTTGGCATCTATTTCAAGGAGTGCAAGGTCGTGCTGCAGTATGACACCAAGTAATTGTTCAAGCCTCTCATAGAAACTGTTCTTTTGTTGTTCATATGTATTGTTTGTTGTCATAATCCATGTTGCTCTGAAAGATTTCAAGATCTTTATCCTGCCCAATCTTGGATTAATTGATCCCAATCATGAGCAACTCCGAGGTTTGAGGACACAGTGTGACTCCGCAACCACACACTTTCTTCGGTCTTCGATCTGAATATTATTGAGATGCCTGATCATCAGGATAGCACATTTTTGTGATTCCATCTTTTCTATATCGCGTTTCTTGGAGGCATGCAATCGGTGCGCTTAGATTGTTCAATGTTCTGGTGATGGTAGCTTGCCAGTTTTACCTTTCAAGGACTGGCGGCTCAAAAAAACAATATTTAGCATCTTCTGCAGTCGACGCAAGTTCTGCGGTGGCTCGGAAACGAGTTTTTGGGTTTGAATAGATAGACGACTTGCAGTGACAGGGCTTGCGCGTCTAAAAATTTAGTTAGTGGCTTGTGTCCGGCTATTCACACTAGGTGTTTGATTTTTGGCATCACGTTTGGATTTTTATTTTACAATATAAAACCAGAAGGTGTCACATGAAGGCGTTCAGAGTCAAACACTCAAAACCCGAAGACACGTCCTGCATCACTTGTGATTCAACCTCTTTATTTATCTATGCTTAGGAATTGTCGTCGTTGAGGTGAACTAACCTGCCATCTTTAAAAATTGATCCGGACGGTGGATCCAAGTGTCTGTGAAGATTCACGCTCAAAAGTGAGACTACAGTATAAATTCTTGCATGTCGTGTTACTGAGCTGGTTCACCGCTGCTTTTCTAACTGATGGCTTAGAAACCATAACAAGCATTGATTTCCAACAACGGCATGGAGGTGAAGTTCAATGTACGAAAAATCCTTCTTGATCCAGCCTGCTTTCTACCAATCCAAAAGTTCAGTCGGTTGAGTATTGAATTGGTTGTCGAATAATAATAACTTTTCAGCTTTACGGTAGACATATGAATACATCTATTCCTGTAGATTTTACAACGGTAGGGATCAATTACGGTTTGGTACTGAGTCCATCTATGTTTTTTCTGAAGAATACAGCCCCATATTGCATGCTATATGCAAATGAGATCAAACTGAGCGGTGAAAGCAGAGAAACAGCATAAGCAAAATTCAAAGCGTGGAGAACAGTTCTTGAGAAAAACAGCAAAACAGCCTTCGACTCAGCAACAGCAAAGCCTGAATACATTAAAAAACGTTTTAGTGGAGAGAGCAAGGGGCAAACAAACAAATCAGTGACAATTTTGCAACATGCTGTAGAGTATCATGTAAATAAACTAGAGTAGTATGCCATCTCGAAATCAAGGAATCATGAATCTTAATTTTATCCTTCAGGACAATGGAAAATGGATATCGAATTTAGAGATGAGTCAAAAACGAGCATGCTGACGTACTCTGCAGTTAGAAGATGCAAATCAAACTAATGGGTACGATACACAGAGCGACAGTAAGATCGGCACTTCTGTAGGGCGCCGACCATTTGATGAACCTGAACATACACGAGAATCAGCTTAACCTCATATTTTAATGCGGCTGCTCTCATGGATGTGCCTTGCTAGCATAAAGGAACATATCCGAAATACTTTACGTAGAGGCACTTAAAGTTTGACATGAATTACGGTAAACCTGATCGACAGTAAGCTCTGTTGGTTACGTCAAGGCAAAGGAAGATCCATCGAGTACGTTGCAATTTGGTCTAAGCACTCATACTGCCAGGAAAGAAAAGAAGAGGTGGATTGATGTTGTAAAGAACGATGTGAAGCTATGAACGCTGACCGAAGATCTGACCAATGACCACAAATATGTATGTGGTTGTTTACGATACTAGAACCTGTTAGGGAAAACAAATTTGTAAAAAGTAAAGATTTTGCGGCAACAGGATTTCTCTTGCGGGTACAATCACACACAGACAATCGAAAGCTGTTCATATGTCCGAGTATGTAAAGTTACCAATGACAAGATTTCCGGTTCATTGCATCGCTCTCATGCTAAGAATTGCCTTATGCCATTTGAGCTAGCCACTGTTCCATTGTGACACGAGACTTTGGACAAAACTATATCACTGCGTTAGTCGTGAAAAGAGATCTTGCAGAATATTCTATGTTCTTGCAAGGCAAGGTATATGTTGTATGGGGGGGTTTTGCCGCATGTTATCAGAAAGTTCGAAAATAACGCGGAACCCCTCTGGCTCAGCTGATTTGCAGGTGGAACAGGAAGATGCAGCGTCTCTGAAGGTTGACAAATTTAATTATCTAGCCTCCATCATCTCAAAACGATGGCACAATCTACTCAGAGTTAAATTGGAGGATCGCCTTAGCCTCAGCTACCCCTGGCAACTTGCCCAATATCGTGGCGGAGAAAAGAATTTATCAATCTGGGAAAGTGGAAAGTACGTCTATGCCTTACCTCTGCCAGATCGATGTTGCTTTTTGCCATGGAGACAGCTGCTCTAACGGAGGAGCAGTAACGATGGCTGCATTGCGTATAGCAACGTTAGCATCGATGCATAATTAAGGTTATATGGTACAACCATATAAGGAATGACACTGTTCCATCCCGGACACAAATGACCTCAGTCGATGTTAAGGCTAAGAAATAGGCATACGCTATTTACTCCAACCCGTGAGCTTCTCAGCTGGAGCCAAAACACGGCAGACCTTGACCAAGAGGCGAGCATGCAACATGGAGGTGTACGGTAGAAAAGATCTGTTTTCAGGGAGGAATTTGTTTTTCTGTGACATAGCAAACGGTGCGTTATAGAAAGTATTGAATGCCCCAGAAAATGAAGACCAGAGTTCTGAATGGGCGAAAGATTCTAGGTCATGATATGAAATAACATTTAATATGAGCATTTACGTGCTACCACAATATACGTTTCTTCTCGTGTTCATTTGTGCATTTTCTTGATATCCTGTCGAAAGTTCGGTAACCTTCAGTCTTCCATGACATCGAGACGGTTTTATGACATTGCTTCCCTGTTTACGGCGGTGGTGCGATTGTATTTAAGTCATAAAAGAAGGCACTACTCAGAGCAACCCAGTAGAATAAACTTTGCTTTGTATCCGGTCCATCTGATCGATTTATCTGCATGGTCCGCAATTTGCTGCGACAGCAGTAGTAAGAAATCCATCCGGCCTTCTGCCAATCGGTCAAGCGGGATTTCAAAGCCCTTAGCAAAGTTGAAGATTGCAGTGGGTCTTTAGAATCTACGCAACTGACCCGGTTCTAATTTCTTAACTGTATGAACCGTATAAAATTTCCATGCAAGAAATAAACACATTCCCAACGACTAGGTGATTAGTCCGTGATGGATTATGCGCCTATATCTAATGATGTATTGATTCTAACCCATTTATGTCTTATTCGTGTACCAGTGCTACCTATTGTTGAATGTACTTAACATCTACGTTGGCAGAAGACAATCGAGAGAATGAAAAATGGTATAATGACCACACCAGGAAACGGGTCAATCTGGGCATCATTTGCATCAGCAGGGTACCAGGCGATTGGAGGAAAGATATGAGTTGCTGCGTCAAAATTTAATGTCTTTGGCTTGAAGATGTGACGCGTATGAGTGAACGTTCATTAAAGGGATTGAAAAGTTTGGCTTTGGCTTAAAAGAATCCAAGCGGTCTACTGCTATAATGACGAAATTTAAATTTTGTATGAGTTGAG